ACGCATCACCCAGTGGAATGCCTCACAATTTATGTCACAGTATTTGCAGGCTTGAATGACTCACAAAATGTCTCGGAATTCGATCCCGTTTTAAAGGCAATCGCGCTTGTTGTTCACGAATATTTTATTATGTTTAAAAGCATAGTGGAAAAGATGGTTAAAATTTCCAAATTTATCTGTTATTTTTTTTAAACAATTGTGATGAGACGGCAATATATTTGTAGGAACTTTCGGAACTTATTTTGATATAAATATCAATGACACGAAATAGTTTTGATAACTCATAAAACTGATTACAATTATTTAAAATACAAGCAGGATTGCGCGTAAAATTGGATCAAATTCCGAGACATTTTGTGAGTCATTCAAGCCTGCAAATACTGTGACATAAATTGTGAGGCATTCCACTGGGTGATGCGTGAATGGCCACATTGTGAGTGGATAATTCTTGTGGTGGTCATAGATAAAGCGTGCATCGTCTCCTTTAGATAGCGCCTTCGATCTACGAGCAAATATTCTGTCGGCAAACATGCGAAATGAACAGTTGCCATTCAGTTGACTTTGCGGAAGCAAGAAACGAAAGAGCCGCCTTCGTACCAGGCAAAGCGGAAACACTTGCAGACACCTTGAATACGTGCCGCCGGGTGCCAGGTGTTGCGTCTAACCAGCTAGCGGGATGTTTGGATTTCGCATTAGTGGTAAACTGGCATCATTAATCACATGAAACCTAGGACGCGTCGATTATCTTCGTTGAGGCGTAAGCAGCACAACACGACGCAAGGACAGTTATAGCCTCGTCGCCATAACGATTACTTCACTTCATTTAATGCCTTTTGTTTAAAAACGCGGTTCTGGTTGGTTTAGATTCCTGTATCGAAGTACCTTTGAAAGAGATGTCCGGTAGGAAGTCACCACCGGGGAGAAAGTCTTCCGCTTGAGCACTCAGGCAATGGACTGAAACGGAGGAATATGTGGAGAGAAGGTAACTTCCGTATAGAATACTAAGACGAGATTTGGTTTGGGGGAGGACAATCCCAGAGGATGCTCGGGTCTTTGGCATTTACGAGGCTTGCCTTTCGGCGCGAGTACTAGATACAATTGCGAATGGATCATGGAAAATTTGGTATGGCATGAATTATGCTTCCACAAGCTTCGACACTGCCCTCCGTAACTCACTGCTATGCTGACTAACGTGGCTAACTGCATTGTACAATTTGCCCCGTGACAGCCTTGGGAGAGCGTGTGGTGGTGATGTGGCAGTTGGCTTGAGACGCCCACATGCAGAAGCAGGCCTAGTTAAGCATAAACATCAGTAATGCATCAGTGGCCTCATTGTTTGCAAAATAGCGCATGTATCCATGTGTGTACATTTGCAGTAGACAGGCTATCAAATGAAGCTTCTTCTTCCTCTTCTGCAGCCACTCACTTATAATCCATTGTAGCATCTCTTCTGAGAACTTGTTTTGGGGTCATTGGACCATTACCATGCAACCTACTTCCCATGGTCTTCCGCTTTGATACTCAACGTCTGGCCTCATCAGTGGAACATGGACTGGTGAAGGACGGAATCATCATGTGTGGTGCACAACGTGCATCCTTGGAATTATGATCCTCGTTTTTGGTGGCGTTGGTGCTGAGATGAACTTTGGTTGTCAATCCAGGTCAATGTGGTGTGAAGGAACCAATGCGGTGTTAGAAATGTCTCCATATGCGTGAAACACAATGGTGTCCAAATTCAAGCTTAATGCACACCCAGTGTATTTAATTCATTCCCTCTAACATCATGGAAACACCGGTACATAATTTCTCGACAGTTACGCATCGCCTTTCATTGCATCTTCAACCTCTGCAAATAAGCTCGACTCGTCACCTACAGGAAATGTTGCAAGCTGAGCTGCAATTTAGGAATGAACGTCTCACTTTACGTGTCCGTCGATTGTCCATTTGAGAGGTTATTTTGGTGCTTCTCTTTGTTGGAAGATGGTGCAAATTGTAGCTACACCCCGTGGCATTTCCTCTCAAGCTCGCATTGATGGATTAACGGTACCTTTGCTGCTTGGCACACGAGTGTGCTATCCCACGACGCTGCACGAAGCACCCACGAAAGAAGTGAGACGAGAAGAGAAAGAGAGCAGAGCCGTTTATTGGCTGTGTCAACCAGGTCGTGGTTTGTTTCGTTGCCGTGCATAAGAGGCCATGTCCTACTGATGGCCTCTTTGTTCAATGCCGTGTGTGTGAACTTGTAAAAGTGCAAGTGGCCAAGTGGTCAAATCGACAGCATGAGAAGCGGGAGAAGTGCACGCACAGGGGAGGGGTGCATAAACAAACGTTGGGGACGCCGTAAGCGGAGCATCAATACAGCTAAAAACTGAACGGACATCGCGGTAATTGTCCTAAGATCAACTCAGTGTTGGCGAAATAGTTAAGGTACAAGTTGCTGAGAGGTTAGATGAATGGAATGAGAAGCGTGGGAGGTACAGACACGGTGACGTGTTACATGAAAAAGTGTTTGCGTCACCGTCCACAGGGAAATTCGTCGACGGGGTTACTGTCGGTGAGCCAACGCGAATCACGGATGCTGGAAACGGACCAGACACTTAGACATGGCGTTGAGCGTCTTAAGAAATGTTCCTACTTCTCACGTGTGACGGCGACACCTAGGCAGGTCAGCAGTCATTGTGAAGCGACGTTGTTGAAGGTCAGCTCTTAATTTATAACCAAGATACTGAATGAAATGTGGTCGGTAGAAATCGGCATTATTTGGGGGAAGCAACCGTTCACTCACTGGTCAGACGCAAGCGTGCATCGCGAGGTGAGCCGACGTCGTTGGGTGAATTCGTGAAGAATCGAGGCTGCAGAGCGTCTACATTATGCGTCCGGACTGTTTGATGTTAGCATGAGATATGCGCGTGCGTATTCAGCAAGCGTGTCAGTGGATGGGATTGTTTGTGTTTGTGGAGACCCGAGTTATTTTGCTGAAATATTGGGGACTGTGTGCGAGGAGATCGGCTTTCCCACAATCGATTTCATCTAAATTACATTGGGTGTTGTAAATGTGCGAATCGAAAGTCTCAGTCTGATCAAGTCTGATTTTCAGACTTGGCTTCCTGTCAAGAGCAACATTCATCTAACTCCTCCGCATCGTTTTGTCCAATCGCCACACTACGAGATGCTGCCACCGTCGCCGCTTTCAGTTAACTAATGTCAAGTGTTTGAATCGAGCTCCTCCAAATGAACTTCGATGTGCCATCATGAAGCATTCCATGGACATGTTGGAATTCGCCCTCGAAACCAACTTTCCCCTCACTGCCGATTTAACCTCTAAGTCTACAAGTCCGCTCGTTAACGCAGAATCCATTTTTTTGAGTGAGATACAACGCACCACTATAGTCAAAACAGGCATTATCGAGAATATGTTGGAGTTTCACTGCCGATTTAACCTCTAGGTCTACAAGTTCGCTCGTTAACACAGAATCCATTTGTTTCGAGGGAGATGTAACACAACACTAAGGTCAAAACAAGCATTATTGAGAATGTTTTGGAGTTTAATGGCTTGTTTGCAGTGCTTGATTAGGAGAAAGGAATCAGTGTCACATTAAAGAAATGAAATTGTCCAGATGCTGCCATCCCTAAGGAAGGAGACACACAGGCGTCGCATTTGATATTTTGCATTAAAATTATGCTGGGTTTTCGAAGCATTTTGGAGATTTTTGCGATTTTGATTAAACGATAACCTATCGATCCTCCATTCCACATTAACTTCACTCTGATTAACACCAATAGTACTCTCGAAATTTTTCTGTGGGTGTCAACAGATCAGGAAATATAATTGTACTACAGAAGTAACTTATTAATGGTTGTGGTGATTGAGGAAGTTTTGGTAGGAAAGATAAACCCTAGCTGATGCCGTAAAGCTTCTTTTCAGCATAGAACAATGGCCACAGGTGCCTAAGGAAGAGAGCTATGCTACAAATCGTCTTTTCAACATCTCAACGGAGTTGTTTGTGTGCAGGTAAGTTTGTGCACCTCCATTAGGGGCAAAGTTGCTTGGGAAAAAATGTGTGTCAAATTCTGGAGCTATATGTCCCGGTGTGTGGCGTATGTAGATATCTCTCAGACCTCGACACAGGTGTTCGTGTGCACATACGTGCCATTTCAGACATATCCGTAACGAAGTGAAGAGGACTCTGGGACGGGAGAAGGAGGTAGGAACACGCGCCAGCAGGCGTGGTTAACATGAAACAACACAAATCACTACAAAGACAATGTGAAATGTCCTGCATGAGTAAAAAAGTAGATTTTGGCTTAGAAAATAGCTAATTGAGGTGAATTCGTTCGAAACGAACAAGTGGCGCGATTCACAATAAGTTTATTTGTACACAGACTATACAGATAGGGATTTATCACAGATTTAAACTCGACAGTGTACATGTATCATTGTGAGGAAGATGCACAGGGTAGGCAAGGCCAATGAAACCAATTTTTGGGAGTTGGATGGTTCTGGGAAGGGAAATGGAAATGCGGCTTCTCTGTGCGTCATCACGTTTGCAGAAGGCGTTAACCGCGACGCACCAGCACGCGGTTGAATGGCATCCTTTTGTCTGTTTCGCACTTCGTCATACGTGAATGGCTCAAAAAGAAGTCCACCTAAGTTGGAAAAAGACAGATTTGACTCTTGTGCTGGTGAACTGATTCCCTGGCTGTCAACACACTCTGTCGACCTTCTTTCGTGCTCTATTGAATCTACGCGCACACTTTGCTAGATCTTTTGACTTGTCGTTGTGGGCCGTTAAATGCATCACGTATTAGTGGTGTGGTTGAAGTGAAAACTGATTTATGTCCAAAAAGCATTTGTCTTGAAGCAAACACCTTTTACCAATTGGTGAAGCCACTTTATATCTTATTCAGGCCAAAGCTTTACCACAACTTCACTTCAGTCATTAGTGAATCTCTGAAATCCATTAAATGAGGCGTGAATGTGTGCTTAGAAAGGACAATGAGTTACCCTTATTTCGAAGTCGAATAAAACCCTCCGCAAGACCATGTCTCGTCCGCATTCGACAGCTATACCTCCCAAAATGTCCTGCCTCCGTTACCCAAACATGGAGCACAGCCTTCACTCGCCGACCATAGAGGGTCAAGTCATGAAGTGACTGGGTCAAGTTGAAGGTGCGATGTCTTTCAAGCGACCTCGACGACACCTCCTCCACCTTGGAATTGTGAAGATCAGGCAAGCTGAGTGAATCGTCAAATCCGTAATTGGTCTCATCCCCATTTTGGTAGATTACTTCGTCAATTGTCTTCTCTGTTAGAGCGCAAGGTAAATGCAGGTAAATACACTGGCTCCCTGCCTAGGCTGAAACGTCACAGGGATGAGAACATACCAGTGCACCAGGTGGATGGTCGATATTGTGGGCTGTCGCAGGGCACGGCGTTGAGATTTCGACCATCTAGAGCCCACTCAACTTCAGCCAATGGGAATGCCTGGAATTCGCACACCAAACTAACATTGCCAAAAGGCGCAAAAAAGACTTCTCTTTGGGGCAGAAACACTCTTGGTGGGTCTACAAGTAAATGCTCCTGTTTGGGTTCATAATAATTTGAAAATCAGGCACTCAGCACGTATGTGTGCCATTTGAAGCGACTAGTGGGAAATGTAGCCCGTTGTTTTCTCTCCAAAGCAAACTAACAGGTCATTCTCAGTCATTTACGTTGATAACGTGTTCAAAGAAGTTAGCAATCACTGCCTAAGTATAAGTTATCAGGACAGTAGGATAATGAACTCGATGAATTGGGAGTAACATTAGATCATTCACTTGGTTGTTAGCTTGATCTACTGGGAGGGCTGTACGTGTTCACGTGCAGCGCTCCACTAGACAACAGCCAAACTCCTGACGAGGTTTGAAATTCTTATGACCCACGAGTCAACCAATTGTCACACAGATGCCACAGAAGGCAATTACTATATTTAAAGACATGTCGATTCTTGAAAATGCTATGAAGGAAATCCAAAACCGGTGATGGATAAAGCGATTACGACTTACAGTGAACAGTCAGGAGTGAGTGCGCCATTGCTGAAGGCCTAACTGAATTGTACGCTTCACAAAAATACCAGCCTACCAAATCCCGATTGACAGAACTGATGATCAAGCGTCCACGTCGTACAAAGATGCCTACAAGAAATGGAAAGGCCATTTCTATGAAAAGACGTCACTGAAAGCATAAATCAAAGTTAGCATCGTCAGTGACCTTCCCAGGCTTTGCTTTGTACACCATTAAAAAATAATCCATGTTTAGGGCCTGATTGTCGATGAGTCGTCAAGACAACACAAGTAAACGTTTAGGTGGATAACTACATCGGTTATCCAACTCGTCAGATTACATCACCGGTATTTATGCGCGTATTTGTCATGAAAACCCCAGTTTCACAGCTTCGCGCGGATTACCAAGCAGTGCTTCGAGGCAGCCATGTCGAATCACTATCAATCCGTTCCAGAGCCATCGATTGACTAACCTTGTCGCAAGGTTGGTAGATAGGCAGAAGAATCGAAATCACATTTGATTCTAAGTATCAAATGCTGACAGGGGCAATTATAACGTGTGGTGATTTGTGCTCCTTCCACTGTTTGTGCGCTGATGTATGGATTGCATCGACCGCTTTACAACGCAAAGGCGCGTGCGTGTTTTAACCAAGTTGGTTAAATCGACATGGATTTGCGTAACACGAGTACAAACGCTGATGTGTGGGAGAGGTCTCAGTCAGATAATGTTCACCATTTATGGATGCAATTCGGTCCCAATTATGTCGAGTCCGAAAGACACGCGTTGTTGTTGTTTGCTTAATTACCACAGCACAAGTAGAGCACGAGGTATGTTTAAACAGGGGAGAAGAAAGAGGAGGAAGCAGTTTGACTAATATCGGTCTCTGTGAGACAGACTGTTGGCATTTGTCTTGGGTTAGACCATTCGGGAAGCAATTAATCACTGTCGGTTGCTGGTGACTTGCTACTCGAATTCTCACCAAAACAGTTGCTTCCACCGAAGCCGCTTTGAGGTCCAATCACCTTCTTGAAATGGACTCAGTTTTCTTCGCGTAACACACTGACTCCGATGAGTAATAATATCGAAAACTGCCAGTGAATGTGTCTTATGTTAGAGGATTCGTCCCCTCTGGATTTCACCTACCGTGAGTTAAATGGCACTTCAACTGTAAACTCGCTTGCATAAACATGACCCACGTGCTGCTTCAGCCACAAACGCCAACCTAGGTCCACGTGTACATTGTGGTAATTTTGCAAACAAGGATCACTATTAGGCCGGGGTGGATAACGTGAAGACACAGACTAACATTCTCTCCTAATGGCTACGTAGTTGATGGTCTGAAAAATACGGAGGTGCTATGGTAGACAATGCAGAGATCTGTGATTGTGCTTCAAGCTACCTGAATAAATACATTTTGCCGATCAAAGCCTCTCTTTAAAGGTGGTAGGCAGTTCTGGGGATGAAATGTTTGCAAAACGCCGCCCACGACCAGCCATGCCGCCAAATATGCAAGCAGGCCAAAAGCGTTTAGACTTTGAATGGAGATGCAGATACTATCACTGCAATGTGGCTTTTTTGCGAAAATAATTCTACGTAGGAGGAGTGCGCTCAGATGACTAATGTAGGTGTACACATCCATTCCGTTTGGACATTCAAGTGTGCTTGAAATTTACTGCATAAAGGATTTAGGAGCCAGAAGTATAGGAGTGAAAGGATATCTCACTTTGTTTGTACTTGGCAGCGATATCATGCAGAGGAATGAGGAGAAGGTGTTGAGTACTTTGAACCAATGGAGGGCTTTGGTAGCGTGGATGAAACTGATGGTACACGGGGGTGGTGGGAAACGTCAACGTGACGTGGCTCTCTTCATAGGTGCCCCTCCTTCGAAGAGAATATCGACGTTGGTAGGTGGCGAGTGGTAGCATCCACCAACGAATCTGCGGATAAGGCGTTCCTGATGCGTTGCAAACAAGAAAGGCGCTTTGTCCCTCCAACAACTCCACCTCTCCTTGTGGGTCGATATTGACCTTGGGTCGAACTGTGAAATGATTTATAGAGACAGCGATTTATCACGAAGAGTTGTTTCAATTTTCTGCTGCCAAACAAGCTTCTTTTGCTTAAGTTCATTGTGACCAAGAATACCGATTTTGGTGAAACGACGACAAAGCTCAATATGCTCGAATGACCATGTGCTATTGTAGTGGGAGAGATGCCTTTGCGAATAGAGGTGCAAAGGTATTTGTGTTGCTCTGTCTTATTGATTTTTAAATAAACCAAATTTTGCAAGCTCTACCTTGTATGTTAGTCGGAACACATGGGCCGGCTTTTGGTTTGAGATGACATCTCAATTGCTGAAATTAGTATTTTATCGATTCGACATAAGTTTACTTTACACTTACTCTCGATCTCCTCATAAGTAATACACCGATACGGATTTTAGATAGTTACATAGTGAAACGCAAGAATTCTGCTCTTGAAGGATGCCTGAAAATGATACAAGGCGTCGGTTATTCGGTCATCTGATGCAATGAAAACCATAACTTTGTGTACAGAAACCTGCATTCATGCAGTTAAGTTAGCACCCATTACCACAATTAACAGACAGTTTCATTATGATTGCACTCACTGTGACGCCTGGATGAGTCTAGGGTGTCTGGGTTGGCTATTTTCATCTGAACCCTTTTAAGCACCCCTGTTTATTTAAGGTAATGTAGCAAAATAATCTTCTTTTCCCTCGAGTACGTTCCAGCTTTACCAAAACGTAACACTTAGCGTCAGGTTTGAATAGACTACAGTGTCAACTAATTTTCTCATTTAGGTACATTAACCCCGTCGAACGATTAGTCAACGTGACATTTTTCCTTTAACATGCTGTTAAACTTGCATGGTCGTTCCTATGGGATATTAAAACATTTTCTCTAGTTAAACATTTCTTACAGAATTAGAATTTCCTATAATGTAATGTTTAACTTAGAGCTGTTCCTTGCGTTCTAGTCCACTCACCTTGAATGTTAACGACGACGACCTTGTACTTGACGCCAGTTTCGTGGTTGTACACACAACGGTACTCTCCCCCGTCGTCTTTGATGACTGGGTCGAATCGCAATTGGAAAACACTTTCCGAGGACTGGGGTACAATACTGATGCGCTCATTTGCCGTAATTTTCATTCGCCCTCTAGCAAGCAGCTGCCGTGGCATTTTCAACCAAGATATTTTGATGATCTCCTGGGAAAGGAAAGAAATTTTGACGATGTTTACAAAAGCACAGTAGTGTCATCGTTTTAACGCCTGGTTAGAGGACAAATAATTGTGCACTTTGAAGATTAGCTTGATCTCGTAACTTTTTTCTTAAAATGTCTATTGTCACTAAGAATATGCGTCATTTTACGAGGTAGTGTGCTTTTCCCAAAAAAATCAAATGCAAACAAAACAAAATTTTCATCAAAAGCATCATCTGGAGGAAACAACTGACGGATACATAGAGTTTGGATTTCCCCTTAAAACACGAATTAAAGAAAAACTATTCGAACGGGTGGAACTGACACGCAATTTGTGGACATATTTTTACTTATGCCACCACAACGCCCGTTACCGATACTTGCTATGTATTGAAAACAGCACTTCTCAAGGAGCACCCACATCGTTTGCCGTTGAGTTGATCGGAAAACCTCAACATGAGCAGTTAGTAATCATCATGGGATTGAAATTGTCGCACTATTAAAAATCATGATTGCTCTATTTGCCTAAATTTGTCGATAGCACGGCTAAAAGCCTTGCTTATGGTTGGAAAATTCACTTCTATGCAAAAATTATTTCTTTTAGCCAAATACTTACCTTCGTAACCAGTTCCGCGATGTGAGCAGATCCAAAAGTAATTGCCAATGTCAGTATTTAATTAATGTTTTTTGGTTGCCTTCTCCCAAGAGAGCTCAGACTTAAATCACAAATGAGGCTAATGCCAATCAGGTTTTTGTTCTCGATTAAAACTAAACGACATTGAAATTTCTGAGCCTGGTTGACTATTTACCCAGTTTTATGATTTGGGGGATAGGCATCCCTTGTTTACTCTCCAAAATGTTCCCGTTCGCAGTTTTTCAAATTCACGTCGAAAACTCCGCATTCCACCCACCAATTCACGTACCTGTTCAGCACTGCTAAGGGTTGGCATTCAGGATGCGCTTAATCTTTTACCTGTCAGAAACGCCTGGGTTTTTCTAGCTGCCTAACAGGGTGACTAAATGGGCAGCACATTCACTGGCGTGTCTTAAGCACAGCGCGGTGCGTGGTGATGAAGATGCCGAATGAATTGACCCAACGACACCCAAACGTTAGTGTCCTTTCAAGACTCGCATTTAACAATTGAAGTAGTAAATTATACTGGAGGCACAACGCAGCTTGTGACTGATCTGAAGGTTTGAATAAGGACAGGCCAGTAAAATGTACAAACACAGCAGTGGCTCAACAGTAAAGATTCAAATTGTAAAACATCATTTCGAATTTTGCCAGCAAGCAGCGATTTATCACATTTTCATCAAACCCGAAATGCCATTTTATGCCCCTTCCACACAGGTCTCTGATTGTGAAGCAATGAAATGAAGCCCTAGTTAGAAAAACCAATTTGGTCCTATTTTGAATTGGTTAAAACGTGTGAGAGCTTGTGCCTCTTTGCCCAGCAGAGCACTGTCTCAAGGCTACTGCGTCATAAAAACAATAAAACACACGACACAGCGACTCATTTCTGAAAAGTGCAAACTGACTTGATGTTCAGTGGTTTCTTAAAGAGGGGATATGCATGGGCCGCCACCAATTCCCCTTAGCAGTGCATTTTGAAGAGTTGATGATTAAACATTAAAAATTAGAACAGGACGTGAGGTTAAAGCACTTGGAGCTTGCTGATTTTGTCTCACAAAACAAGTTAGAGGTTTTTTATAAATTGGTCTGCAGTCTGTGTTGCCTAACGCGCATGCTGACTGACTGACTGACACGTTTTCGAACAGAGATCAGTGGCTGATGATCTGTTGGTCATGGTTTAATAACACTCCACACACAACATTATAAAAGGATTTTGGACATACTAAACTATTTTTGTGGAACTTGTAGCTCCCCATTCTTCAACCTCAGCTATTAATACTCACTTGGTAGGCTCATGCGATGTTATAAACCAGGAGCGTGGCTGTCGAACACACAAGGCACACATCAACGGTTTATGTATTTACACTTCCTTCTTCCGTTGGCATTAGTATACATGAGACACCTGGAAAAAGCAGTCGTAAAACACTACTAGTTGTTTACTTACGATGATAAGAGGAGACAGTAACTGAAGAGTTTAGGAATTTTTTAAGCAAGCCACTTTCATCGTGAAGTGAATTATGTAGCGCACAAGAAAAATGTCCGGTTTAGTGAAATGCTCAAATTGTGGCCCCAAAATATTATACTTGACAATTTTGCTAATTTCCTGTTAAGTTGTCTATGGTGTTTTCCATAATCTGGGGATTTATTGAAGGGCAAGCGTTAGTATCTTCGGTGCGTTAGGTTGTTGGCAGCCACTATGTCCACTGTTTCAACGGCACTTTCTAGAATACGATTTCAAAGTTCTGCAATTTGACATTTATAATTGTTCTAACAGACAAAATCAACAAGGTATAAATATCTCTGAATTTAAAAGAACACGTCCCCACTCTATCTAACCGGTGACGACAATGTGTTTGCTTGAAAGTTGTTCTGGATTAAACTAACGCAGATATTTGGAAAAAAAAGCGATTAGAAATTATTTCGAGTTGATTTCTACTTTGATTGAAATGGCTACTCCTCAGCGATTATCGTGGCAGTTAAGATGAATTAAGCCCTACATTTCACCTGTCAAGGTCCCCGTAGAACAAACTTTTTGCCGATTCTGCAAAGGCGAACATTTTTTTTAAAAGAACTCTATTTAACCCTAGGGTATAAATAACGCTATTCGGACTTGAGAGAAAATGCCAAATTGTCAAATCACAAAAGAGATAAGGAAGCAACGCAACATTGCACAATTCAAGTCAAAACGGAGTGCATACGGAATTTCCAGAGTGTAAGATATCAAGCAAACGGGTGGGTTAGATTACACTTCCAAGGATTTAAGTTAAATAACTTACACAGCGCGGAAGTACCCAGTGATTTTTTGTAACCTCCTAAAAGTAACTCCTCTTGTAATTACTGGTGTAACTACAGAAACTCTATTTCCTGGCATTAGTGTTTTTTATTTGAAAGACCACAAACGCATCATTGATTTCGTCATCAAAACTAACAACTTTAGTGAAAACGTGTTTGCTTTAGCCACAAATTGGCTGTAACCTCATAATAAACTGTACAAGCATTGCAGCAAAACTTACCAGTTGCAAATTACAGTTAATTCACCTCACTATGCATTCAAATTTTGAATGCAATTGGTGTCAGATCTTCGGAGTTCTGCACTTTGTACAATCTTTGGAAGCCATCGTTCATGCTTGTTCAGAAATGTAGCGGTACGTAACTTCAGATGAATATTTGTCATTCTCAATGAAATTAACCCTTAAATCTTAGTAATATTGACCTTTTCTCTAAGTTTACCGAATATTCTTAAAATCACTAATGCAGTTGTATCAAAACAGAACTAAGCATCATTTACTTTCATGAATGGTATTGGGTATATCAATATAATGTTAGGACATCTAAAACAGCGTATTTCGCACTATAATCTCCCCCACCAGTTATTAACAGCCGAAAGGACGAATTCAGCAGCGTACTACAATTTTTTTTAACTAACTGAACAAATAAAATCAAACGACCTTCAGTGTTATGCTCTTCGAACGTAAATTAGTAGGTTATTATACGCCAGATTCAGTTAATGTCAGTAGAAAATCTTAACAGGGGGAAGCAATCGTGTTAGAGTTGAAAATTTCTTCCCCTTATGAAATAATTGCAGGCTCGCGTAGTGGAATAAAATGTTTTTTTTCCCGTCCTGGACTAACGGGGAAGACAGTCACACAAATATAGGAGACTTGAAGTAAGGTTTCTAATTATCATTAATATAATATTAAACTACAGGACTGGAGTGTATTCTTGTGAAAAACCAAAATAGCAATCTAAATGCTGTTCGCTTAAATTACAGTAATCATAGTACCGAGCCCACACAAATGCCTCGTTGTTATTATCCAAAGAGCTTCGGTGTTATGGTTGTGAACATTCAATCAAGTAATCACTCAGTTTGAAGAGGGAAATAAAGTAGAATTAAGCATGATTTCCTCAGTTGGTGATCTGTCTTAAGTTATCCAGGACGCCACAGCAATGATCTTGCAGGCCAATGTTTTGTCTAATGGCTGGTGACAGTTGTAGGGAAGCTGTGTAAACAATACCTGTTTGCTTAAGTTTGGGAAGATAGCCTGACCGATATTGAATGCGTAAAAAAATACTTGACATCTTAGTTAGTTGTTTGCAGATCTCCACTTACCTAGCGAACGATTTCTGCAAGGGGGTCCGAACACTGGAACAAATGAGACATGATGTATCCCGTTACAGGCTTAACACTCAACAAGATAGCAACTGCCCAATGTTGACAAAGTTTATACCTCAGCGCTCAACTCAAGCAAATCGAAAGTAAAGTGGGCTTCAACATTGGATTAATCTGCACAACGAATTCCCATAGGATCAACTGTGAGGATTTCATAAATTATAACAGGTTCGCAAGCGGTGCCACGTGGTTTAAAACATGGGATTGACCTTTCTTAACCAAACTGGGATAAAAACCTCTATGGCGATTCTCTTTAAGTAATTTTCTACTATTGGCAGTGATAAGATTAATCCCAGAACGTTGAGGATTTAAGCATGCATTGTAACTTTGGTGTAAATTCTTACGACCACATTTAGTGCTCCCGTTAGAGTCTAGCTAGGCTTAGACCTGTCATGTGATCGTGACGGAATTTGGTATTAATGTGGAAGGGTCGGTTTCGTATGTCTAACGGTAGCCGGATGGACAAAAAGACTGATACCGGAATGAAAATTTTAAGAACCTAAATCCCTTTTTAGTTAGGATGGACATATGTCTTGAAATTTTTTGCTGAGCCTACTTTATACAACTCTGATTTTTAGAGACCAGTTGGTAAATGAGTGAAATGACTATGCATGCCAGAATTACCACTCTTTGTGTAATTCACCGT